AAAAAAAAAAAAAAAAAAAGGAACCTTCTACATCTCTATGAACTTCTGCTCGGGCACAACTGATATACGAGCCACGACTAGCGGCTCATAAAAAAAAAAGAAACTGCAAGTCATAAAAAGAAATTTCACTATAATACAATCTATTACAGAATTTGATTTGTATCATGCTGCTACGAGGCTGTTGAATATACGCTTCAAGCTCGGGCACGAAGCACGTAACCTCGCCATGCTCCCTGTAGATATCTGCCCAAGAGTAATAATAACCTCTTCAGTAACTCATCAATAAAAATGTAAAACTGTTCGGTTTCACACACAAAGTTACATTACTTAGGTAATACCGACAAAAAACTAATGCTCGAGGTTTGCAATTTTGAAATATAACTGGGGAATTTTGTAAATATATTAAACCTCAAGAGCACTTTTTCCTTGTATATATGACCCTGAAATGAACTTGTGTGCTCTGTGTGAAACATGTCATTTCCTTACCACCATTGGGCAAAAGCGGATATCAAGTGTCTCGAGCATATTACAGTCCCTTATGGCAGCTTCAATGGCATCCTCGTTGATGTTACAGGACTTGTTAAGTAACAAAATAGATGAAAAGGAGTTAAGAGAGTCGTGCCATAAATTAGGCAATTTTCATCATTACTAAGTAAATTAAATTTAGAAACATACCTGAAGAAAAAGACTGCTCAATTTTGGGCAGTGGAGCTTCAGAATCTCCAAGGAGTAGCAATTGCTGAACAAAGGTATATATACAACCATTAGATATTATCCTATTAGGGTTACTTGCAAATTATTCCCCAATTTTCTTACTTTAAATTCTTCTTATTTTGAGATATAATATAATGTCAGGGAATTATCCGACCGGTGGGTCAAAATCAGTCAAACTCCCGCAACTACCACTAAGAATCATATGGTCAGATAACATACCTCAAATTAAGAACCAACAAATTACGACATGATAAATCGACCTTCCTCAAGTTGTACGAGAGGGAGAGGTTTAAGGTCGACAGGTGTACGCATCCTGCCATAGGAGGAATAACCACTTTCTTGATATTCGGGCAGCCAACACAGTTCAAGTTTTGCAGCAGCCGATTGGCTCGGTCCACATCTTCTGGAAAAGACTCGTCTGATCCAGAAATAGTGTTCCTTGAGGACAAATTCTCCATTCGGGATCCCCATTCCAAGTCGTGCATGTTCACACAACCGTTCAAGCTGATGTGGGTCAAACGTTCACAGCAAGCGAGTAATTCTTCTATTGCCGACTGACAAAGGGAGTCGTAAGACAAGTCGAGTTCATAGAGTGATGGAAGGGCGTTGCTTTTGTAGAGAGGCTCCAAAGATGTGTCGCTAAGGTATTTGCATGCTTGCAGTTTCAGAACCTACAAAAATGAATTATTGTGATTCAATAGTTAGGTAAAAATCATGAAAAGTCGAATGATACCACCTCATAATCTGAGTGCTTGAAACAAATATTTTCAACTGGGCCTTCTATGTATAAGGGAAACTTGAGTGGTTTTTAAAATTCCAAAGTTAACTTGGTCTTTTATGAAAAGGCAAATTTACCTTCAAATATAAACAGGAGTCATAAACAGGCTGCAAATGAACCAAAAAGGTGTAGGACAGATCAAGGTAGGTCAAGCTCCGAAGGGAGCTCAGAGACCAAAGTCCATCAGGGCCCACAGAGTGACATGACATCAGCACCAACGAATCAATAAGCGGGCAAGATAAAGTTGTAGCCGATAAACAGTCATCCTTGAGTTGGCTGCACACAGCAAGCATCGAAAGATGTAAGTTAAAGATATTAATTATGATCCATTATTGAATAAGATCTAGACTGATGAAAGTTTATTTGCCTGCAAAAAGACGCGTCCAGAGATGTAAGAAGTGGGCAGTCAATAAACGCCTCAGATAACACACCACATCCTTTCAACTCAAGAGACGCCATCTCGGGAGCTTCAAGATAAAGTAGATTTACTTTAGGACATATGCCCAGATTTAAGGACTTGAGACCAACCTGCATTTGCATGATGAAAGAAGAAAATGAGAAGAGTAAATCTAGCTAGTACACAAAATACAAGTATAGTAATGAGAATTCTTTAATCAACTATTTTTTAGAAAAAAAAAATCTGAAAGGTTTGGAGCAGCAATATTGAAAAGCAGACCAAACTCGAAACTTAAAAGCGGATGGTTATTTACAGGTGTAAATTTTGCTCTCTCGAGATGATCGCATCCATCTAACGAGATACCCTTGAGATGTGGGCAGCTGAGATCAAGAGATTTCATTGCACGACAACCACCGAGTGAAACACTAACCAAAGACGTACTGCACAATCTCACTTCTGTCAAGCTCTGTACAAAAAGCAACAGCCACAATAAGATACAGCAATCATGAGTGCATCCAAATGAAAATAGTAAAATGGGTGGGGTGGGGTGGGGTAGGTGGGGGGTGGGGGTGGATCTATTTGCAATAGAAGGTCTCATGCATGAATTACAATTATGGCATGCTTTTACAATAAACAACAATTAAAAATATATATTAATACATGTATATACACACACACACACGTATATGGATACATATATACAAGGGAAAAAAATTGCAGTGACAAACCTCACAACTATCAAGAATCAATGATTTCAATGCAGGACAGCCTCCACCACTATTGAATACTTCGCAAATAGAATTCTTCAAGGATTCACACTCGGTCAGGTCTACTTCTTCCAAACAAGGGGATTCCAATGCTAACGTGGTCAGACTTTCTTGCTTTTGCAACACTAATTTCTGCAAGAACAGTTTTGAAGAAATATACTTAATTCCAGGGAATTACCACAGAACAAGGGACAAGAAATTATGCATAAACGGATAGCAAAAATGATTTTGACAAGATAGAGTACTCTAAGAGCAGCCGATGCAATGCTGATCCTTCGGAGAGAGGGACTATTCGAAACTGTAACTGAGTACAGCACACTGCTCCTCAAATTCAAATCTACTAACCTGCAAAAAAAGAGAAGGAAATTAAAGAGCTACTCTGACTCAAAAAGACATGTTATTGTTCACATTTGCAAGATTTGAACATACTTGCGGCAATGAACAAGCCTTATCTTTTGTAGTCGCGGGAGATCCAAAGACACTGACGCCAATAAACTGCAATTATCAAGCTCAAGAACCTGAGAAGATAGAAAATCTCAAATGTAAACAACTGCCCTAATAAATTAATATACAATATACAATAATAATAATAACAATTAATGTGATCTTGATTATACAGTAATTGCTAAGTCAAACCTCCAGCATAGAACTACGTCTTATAGCAGCCATTGAGGCTGAAGTAATGCCCTCACAGCTGTGTAGCTTCAGAACTGTCAACATGGGCAGCACCACAGCCTTCCAAAATTAAACCATAAGTTAGACGATGCATAAATACACACAGATAATGTACCATTGCTAGATAACGAAAAAATATTAATAATTATAGTAGTGGTAGTAGTAACCATCCTTACTTCAAGAGCGATAATCGGGCAGTATGAAGCATCAAGAAAACGAAGATTTCCACTAGACGAAGCTATTTCTCGTAATGTTTCGTCAGTGATGGACGAACAATTTGATATATCCAAAGATTCCAAGAGCGGGCAAAAGGTTGCTACCACACGAATTGCGGCATCTGAGAGCTTGTGACAAGATGCAATGTCAAGATCACGCAAAAGAGGGCAGCTAAGAACAGCATGAGGCATACTACTTCTCTTCAGAGACAAGGTCTCGAGTTGGGGGCACCTGGGTAAGAAAAAGATGGGATTTGTAACATAACAGAAATTTTGACAGTATTCTAGAATGCAGAAGAAATTAGTCACCTGATGGTAACTCGAAGAATGCGACACTTCACAATCTGAAGATCACGTAAGCTATCATGATCAACAAATACATCCTGAGTGCCACCACACAGAGTAGCATCATTGATGGTCAAACTCCTCAACTTATGACAATCACTGAGCATTTCAAAAAAGTTCTCGCCTAGTTGGCCTTTGCCTAGGATTAAGACCTCAAGATGTCTGGGAATAAACCACAAGAATCAGAAACATTTAAAAAATTATCAAGCTCAGGAATCTACTTTTTATTATTATTGTTTAAATGACAAAAAAAAAAAAGGGAAATGTCGTAATTGCCTTAATAAACAAATTGCTTTCATCCCAAGTTGATTGATAGCAGGGGTACCATAAACATTAACTGCAGTAGCATTTGGATATCGTCGACACATGCTCCGAACTGAAACACCAAACAACCAACCAGAGTCAGTTTACCCATGCAATACAAAGAGTTGAACAAGAAGTACAAGTGATGATCTATACGCCAAGAAAAGTGGTACTGCATGACTTCAACGAGCCAGTAAGCTACAGATCGACTATGGTGCAATAAAATGTCAGATTGTACCCGCTTTAGCAAGTTAATCTTAGAATTATGTATCTTATTTTTTTCCAATCAACCATTTGGACATAAACCATGCAGTCCATGTCAGATAATCTAGTTCATTTCTCTGATGGAATATATATATATATATCCAATCAACATCAATCACGAGTATGCCATCATATGGACAGTTTATCATAGCCACTTCAATCTTGATCTATTCTTAAGGTAACTGTTTTAAAAGTTGATCTAGCAGCCAAAGTGGCAGCTTACATAATTTTGATTTATTCAGAGCTAGATTCAAAATCAAACTCACATTGACGTTCAGATATGGGTCGATTCTCAAAATTCAAGTAACGCCAAAACTCTTCATGAGAACTTGCATCCCTCCATTGACGACAGACACTTGCAGCGAAACAAAGATCAATGTGGTCCAAGAAGGAGAAAATCTGCAGCAAATAACAAAATACAATCAAATTGCTTAACCAATGAGACATGGCAATTTTGTTTGTACAATAATACAGTACAAACCATATGCAGCAAGTCATCAGTAAGATCCATCCGGATTCCTGAAAAATCGCTCGTTCGTAACTCATCACTATTATTTGTATCACCATTTTTAGCAACACACAAATCAGGCACATCCCCAGTGACAATCTTCTCATTCACCGGGGCAGTTGGACGGATTTTTTCCTCAGAATCGCTGCCCCAATCCCTGAAATGATGATAAATTATTAGAAAGATGAGTAGATACAGCTCCACTCACTCCATTTTCAATAATTTATACCCAAGTCAAAAAGACAATAGAGAATAAGAACTTGTTTAAGATAAAGGTTCGCAACAAACAATGCAATAAACACGCAACGTAAAGTTTATAAATAGCCTGAATAAATACTCATTCAGCAACCAGGAAAATAAAAGGTTGATGCCTGCGAAACACTGTGGACATCAATAAGCCATAAGGTCAAATGTTACAGACATGCAGTATACTGTGCAACAATTTGTGCACAGGACATAAACGAATGTTGAGGGAACACGTCTCTCATATCCCAAACTAATGCCACCAATTATGGTAACCCAATCATAACCACATCTCAATCAAACAATCCAATTTACAGTCATACATCTTATTGAATAACTATAAGGAAGCAAGCTGGAACAACCATACACGGACACACCGACACACATAGATAACAGAAGAAAGAATGGCAGAGGATCGTACAGAGAAAAAGATTGAATCTTGAGCCGTTTACTCTGCTCAAGATTGCAAATTGCTCTTCCCATTACAGATGCTGGTGCCAATGATGATGATGAAGGCTCCAAACCCAAACCCAAGTTCAAATCAACATCCAATTTCCCTTCCTGACTTCCACTACCACCAACAGCAACCCAACTTGCCTCAACACCATTTATGCACGTCGTGAAATCTCTGCTTGCTTCGCCATCAGTAGCTAACCTCTTACCACTGTTCCTTCCAATTTCTCCATCAAAATCAAGTGCCGTGCTATTACCCACCTCATTAGACTCCTGAAAAGCTGACTCCTCATCAACGGCAACATTCTTAACATTTTCAGAAAGACCTACATCCATTTCATCATTCCCCATTTCTGCTCAATCTTATATCCAAGAAAGGCCTCTCTCTTAAGCTCTTTAAACTTATTAGAACACCGAAAATCGGTTGTCTTGATTTGACTATCTTTGCCTCCTCCTCCCAAGCATGCCAAAGTGGAGCTAACAGCAATTTCTATAATCTGCGGGCGTGCGATACCAGTATAGAGATTCCAATAATTCACCACGAACCCTAATACGCACGGCAAAACCCTAATAACGATAATTACGAACGCATTCGCTGCCCAATATTCCGACGAACACAAACAATAACAGAGAGTAGGCACTCAATTCACACGGGTAGACACAACAACGCCGGAAATTCGAAAAAAAGGTAAAACTTGAAATATACAATCACAAAAACTTTAAAGAAGATGAATTTATACATTCAGAAACTGCACGAAATAATAATAATAAAAAAAAAAAAAGA